CAATGGGTCGCCCAAGCCACTTCTCCATCCCAACTACTGACCATTTTATACAAACCACACAGCACAAGGACAGCAGCCCAAAGACCTTTAGCAAATCTATAATCAAAGAACGGACGCTCTATGGATTCAGGCACAAGGCCACACAATAAACATTTATCATCATCAATACTTAGTCCCATATTTAGAAGCCTAACCCGTATAGGAAGCCTATCCAACATGGCCATCCATACGATGACATTGTGCTTGGGGATACGCCCAGAAAACCAGACTAAGTGCTGCCAAGAGACCTTGGGCGCCTTTAAGCGCATATCTTCCCAAATGCATCTCGCATTGAGGTCACAAGCCGGACCATCGAAGAGATGAAATACCATAGGCCTAATTTTCAAAAGGCGCTTGAAGCTCTAGCTAACATTAGTGGGAATATTCAACTGCCAAAAGTCTCTATTCCTAATTACATAGGACCTCAACCAAGCCACCCAAAGAGAACCCTCATTGGCTAACAGCTTCTTGATTAAATGAACAATACATGCCATGTTCCAGCTGCCAATGTCATGTATACCCAGAGCCCCCTCGGACTTCGGTAAATAGATTTTCTTCCAACTAACACGAGCACCCTTAGCAGGCAAGTCAGACCCCTTCCAAAGAAAATCTAGAACACACATTAGATTTGTGTTTAGGAGGTAAAAATGAGCGAATTGAAAATTAGAGTCTAAAGATCGCCCATGACGATGGTTGGTGGGACCAGTGACGACAATTGACAGTAATCGACGACAATAATGTGCGGTGGCCTGTGACGTGAATTTTGATTATTTTTATATAGAGCTTAAGGGTTAAATTAGTATTTTGTATAAAATTTAAGTCAAATTAGTATTATATTTAAAATTAAAAAATTTATTTATTTTTAATAACATGTGGCATTAGTAAAGTAAGGGAAGTTATTGATCCAATAACCAAAATAAGATGGATCAAAAACAAAAATGATCAAAACCAAACCTTTTCACAATAGGTGACCAAAATCAAACATATAAAAAATATAAGGGACCACCAACGTTGTGTACACTTTAAATAATAACATTGTAATTTTTTTCGATTAAACGTTGTGAATACTAAAAATAAATGACAGGTAGTTCCTCTAATGGATTTTTGTAATATTTGGTCATATTAATTAATTAATTAATTAATTAATTATTAATAATTATAAAAATATTATAATTTTATTTCGATAAATTTAATTTTAATAATTCTTTAATCATTAAAATTATGTGGTTGTTTCTTTATAAATAAATTTATATCATGATCTCGTTAATGAATCTTTTTTTTTCATTTTCGATGATCTTTTTTAAAACATAGTTGACATTTTTTAATATTTTCACCGACAGTGAACAGGTTATTTATCCTAAAAATATAAATGAAGTTAGTAATTGTTATTTCTTAATATATTATTTTAAATAATGTGATAACAAATTGTAAAAATATTAAATATTTTATTAACATATCCTCGTAATAGATTATAGATGTGGAACAGAAACAAAGTGCAAGAAAAATTATAAAATTTGTTAATAATTATATTTTCATTAATTAATTGAATCTAAGATTTAAATTCTACTCTTTTAATTATAAAAATTGTGAAACTAATTCATGTACCATTTAATTTTATCCGTTAACTCGTTTATAATATTGAACTTTTAATTTTATTAATTATAACACTAAACTTTAGTTTTACATTCAATTATGTCACCCCACTGTTAAATCACTAACGAGACGTTTACATGGCTAACGGTTGTTGATTTGACATGTCACACCAAAATGACGTTGTTTTGGTGTGGCTATTCTGATGCTTAAAACGACATCGTTTTAGACACCGAATTTTAGAAGTGTATCGATTTTGCCACTGAACTTCTAAACAATTTACTTTTTTGACAATACACTTTTCAACCAACGTTGACAGTCAATCACCGCCTGTCACTGATCATCTTTTGCAATAAAATTAGTACCAAAATATTTACATTTCACTCCTCATCCTTCTTATATGTTTAATTTCCCACGAAACTCACTAAAAATCTACAAAATTAAACAAACAAAATCTACTATTTTTTAGATGTTTAGAGACTTGCTTAGATTTATGAAATTTAGGGTGTTTATTCGAAAATCTAAAGGTGAGAAATATTATTTTGAGAAGACAAACAACATACCTCAAAAATTGCCTCATCGAACAATCATTGAAAGAGATCAAAGTATTAATTCATTGAACTTTTAAATGGATTTTCATCGTTTTTTGGTGAGTTTCTTAAAAAATCAATTTTAGGAGAAGAAAGATGAGTAAAACACGAACGTTTTAGTATCGATCTTGCCACGAGATATGACTTATGATGGGTGTGTTTAGCTTCCAACAGTGACCAAAAAGTGTGGTGCTAAAAAATAGCAAACTATACGGATGATCCTTTATATTTTCGGTTTGATTGATTTTGATCACCAGCTAAAAAAAATAGTTTTGATCCCTTATGTAAATGATTCGTTTTATTTTAGTTCTTCAATAGTTAACTCTAGGGGTGTAAACGAGTCGAGTCGAGCTCGAGTATTGCTGAGCTCGACTCGACTCGAAAACTCTGAAATGGAGCTCGACTCGACTTGAAAACTCACGAGCTTAAAATTTTTAAGCTCGACTCGAACTCGAAATCCTGAACTGAAGCTCGTGAGCAGCTCGAAAAGGCTCGAAATGAAAAAAAAAATCTTAAACTTAACAATATTAAATCATCAAATTCAAACTTGAACCTGAACCTTAAATACATAAAAGCCTTATTGTATTTTTAAAAAAAAAAATCAACACATAAATGTTAATATTATTAATAATTTATTTTTAAAAAAAAATAAAATCTTAATATATTATATTTTCGAGTTACTCATGAGCTTTTCGAGTCGAGTATCGAGTAGCTCGTTTTGGCTCGTTAAGAATTCGAGTCGAGATCGAGTTCGAGTCGAATCCATTCGATCCGAGTATTTATCGAGCCTTGACCGAGTCGATCTCGAGTAGCTCACGATCTGTCTCGTCTCATTTACAACCCTAGTTAACTCACATTAACCGTAACTAGCTATTAAAAGATTAAGAAGAATCCAAGTGTCTTCTTCTATTATAATATATATTATTAAAAACCGTACCACCCCTGTCGAGGAAGAAGGATGATCGTTTTTAAAATCCCCAACAAAATACCAATTATTTGTGAAAACAGAAAAGAATTAAAACAAAAAAGAAATAAAGGAATGCATGATTGTTTGAATACGCAGGGAAGGAAGAAGAAGCTGTAAGTTGTGTTTAATACGCAGAGCTTCATATATGATTGTCTGAATAAAATGAAACGAATACAAGCTTGTGCTGATATAATTGGCATTTTAATAATCAACCTATTACGTAAGGGACCAACACTTTTTTTAGCCGATGATAAAAAAACATAAGGATCATCCATATAATTTACCCGAAAGAAAATTATTTAAAAGTTCAATGACAAAATCGGCACACCCTTAAAATTCAGTATCTAAAACGACGTTGTTTAGACATCATAACAATCGCATTAAAACACCACATAAACAACCGTTAGTCGTGTCATCATCTCATTATTGACTGTGCATTTTTTTTAAATTCACAAAATAAAGTTCATATTTCATGCATTGTGTCTCGGTTGTATACCAAATTGTCTCCTCTCATTTTTTAAAAAATAGTTATTTTTATTTTATTAGTCTCAAAGGCATCATTAAGGGTAATATCAGATATATTCATGATAATTATAAATAAAAGAGATATAATGAATGCTCAAACACTTCTATTGCTAATGGGTAAAGCCTATGATAATTAACCAAGATATTAATTAACGTATTATATTAACCAAGTGAAGTACTGAAATAACGTATTATAATAATTAACCAAGATAATAATTTAAATAATTGTAAAATAATAGTAATGTTTTCCTTTACTTTCAAAATGAAGTATAATTAAATTAACTCACATTTTCCTGAGGAAGCAAATTTATAATAAACTATTTAAATTTAAAAGCTAATATCATTTTAAAAACATAAAAACATTGTTACCAAAAGAAACATAAACATAAAAATATAATCCTATAAATGTTACTATTGATTTTGTTATTAAAAAATTTTCAACTTCAGTAATGATTATTTTAAATATTATAATGTTTTGGGTAAACTACATGTTTAGTCATCCAGCTCTTACTTTGGTTCCATTTTGGTCATTCAATTATTTTTTTCAAAATCATCTCTAACTTAACATTTTAGTTTCATTTTGGTCAACCGACATTAAAAAATGGGTAAACTACGCATTTAGTACTTAAATTATCAGTTTTGGTTCGTTGTAGTACCTAAACTTTCAACTTTTTCAAAATCATACCTTAAGTTTAGTTTTTATTTTATTTTAGTATCCGTTCAAAATTTAACGTTAAGTTTGAAAAATATTGAAAGTTTAGATACTAAAACGGATCAAAATTGATAGTTTAGGTACTAAATGCATTAGGTTTTTAATGGTGGGGTACTAAAATGAAACAAAAACTAAAAGTTATGTATGATTTTTAAAAAAATGAAAGTTTAGGTTTTAAAATAGACCAAAATTGATAGTTTAAGTATTAAATGTGTCGTTTAACCTAAAAATAATAGAATTATTGATGTAGTATTTTTTAAAAAAAATTAATGATAATATGATATTATCTTGTGGTAACACATTAACATGATTAATTTTTAATGACAAGTGATCAAAATGTAATGTTAGTGATGAATTAGAAAACAAGAAATAATTGCCTAACCAAAAGGCAACCAACGTGATAAATAAGTGACTAAATGTATAGTTTATCATAATATGTTTTAATTATTTTAGATGAAAATTAAATCACCATTGGAGGAACCAAATGAGAGGGTCTAAATGACAATACGCACACTATATGCATACATATATATGGAGACGATAACTACATTTTAAACACTAGGAATCAAATCATAAACACTTCAAAAACAAACAGTGCAAATCTTTCCCTTTCTTTTTATTTTCTCAATCAAATCTCTTGACAATTTTTGTTGCTGTTGTTGGCAGCTGCCCACTTCTTGAAAAAGTTCCTTCTTTCTGCAAAATCCCGAAGAAGAAGAAGAAGCAGCAGAAGAAGAATCTTTTGATTTATTTGTCACTTTCTTTGTTTTTCTTTGATGAATTTTAGGCAACAAGACGGCTACTCTTTAATATCTTTTCTTCTTCCTGTTGAGATATCTCGTTCCTTGAAACAATTGAAAAGATCTTCAAAATTTGTTTTTTTTTCTGAGATCTTGAGTGAGATTTGAAATACATCGAAATTTCGAAATTGGGTCATCGAGATTCTTTTCAAAATAAATATATAAAACCTACAATGCCATGGGAACGGCACCATGGTAAGATAAGAAAACGAGGGTGTTCATCATCGTCTTCTTCTTCATCACTGATCCGAAACTACAGATTCAAGCATTCAGTTTTGGTGGCGAAAAAAGCAGGATCGACAACCCCTGTTCCTTCATGGATTACAGCTACAACGGAACCGCCTTCTCTAGCAATGGAAACCGCTCAGTTCCCAGTTTCTGCTAGAAAGCTAGCTGCCACTTTGTGGGAGATTAATACAATTCCTTCCCCAGAAGCTAAACAAGTATTGGAGAAGAAAGATAAGAGGAGAAAAGCCCCTAGAGTTTCGAAAATGCTTCATGTTTTGCCGCAAAATTTGTCTGATCCGTCGAATAGTCCGTTTACAGAGGTGGGGATTTTAGTTGCTTTAATGCTTTGAATCGGTTTGAAGTTCTGGAAAACATTTCTTGTGAAAATCTCATTAATTTTTGTTTCGTTTCGGTTGTTTTTGTGTTGAATTTCATAGAAAATGGATCGAGGCAGAGTGAAATCTCACAGGAGAAGATCTTCAATTGTTTCTCAAAAGCTTCAGGTTACTGACCGTAGTTTCATGGAGGTGATAAAGACAATTTCCAAATACATTTTAGCTTCTTTTAATTCTTCAGTTTTTCCATTTATGCGGGTATTGCGTTAATGCAATAACAGTCTCGGATGATACCGACACCTCTATATAACGGCCGCTATTCCGATAATCACATCTATTTAAATTCTGATCTGGGCTTATATGGTATCATTTTCTGCAAATCTTGGCAATGCATGTTATATTGTTTTCTTCAGAATGGTTCTCTATTTCCAGGTTTTTCAGATGGGGAAATTTCATATTTTTAGAATTGTTTTGAGAATTTACTGCAAAAAAAGTTGGGTTTGAATCTTTATTTTACAGAAATATATGAAATATATGTTCATGCTGATTTTATGCCATGAATGCAGATTGATGAAGCTCATTCTAGAGGTAAAAATCATGGTGGATGCATCATTGGAATTAAAACTCGTTTAAATGATGTCAGTAATTGCTTAGCCACTTCTAATGAACTCGTTGAAGTTTTGAGTCGAGTTTGTGGACTAGACGATAAACATTCGAGGAGCATGTCATTAGTCTCGGCACTATATGTCGAACTCGACCGAGCTCAAATCCATGTTGATCAATTGATACGAGAGCAACGATCGAATCACGATGGAATCGAGCATCTCATGAGGCATTTTGCCAAACAAAAGGCCGCTTGGAAGAGGAACGAGCGCGAGAGAATCCGTGATGCCATATCGTGCATTGCCGAAGAGCTCGAGGTGGAGAAGAAACTCAGGAGGCAAACCGAGAGATTTAACAAGAAGCTCGGGAAAGAATTGGCTGATACGGCGGCATCACTGTCCGAGGCAATGAAAGAGCTCGAAAGTAAGAAGAGAGCAAAAGAGATTTTGGAGCAAGTCCGTGATGAATTGGCTCGAGGTATCGGAGAAGATCGAGCTACGGTCGAAGAACTGAAACGAGAGTCAGCTAAAGCGCATGAAGAAATGGAAAAGGAAAGGGAAATGATTCAATTCGCAGATGTATTAAGAGAGGAGCGAGTCCAGATGAAGCTCTCCGAAGCTAAATGTCATTTTGAGGAGAAGAATGCAGTTGTTGAAAAGTTGAGGAATGAACTTGAGACCTACCTAGGAACCCAACTAAACGAAGAAAATGTCGACGGTTCGCTGAATCTGCAGAGGATCAAAGAGCTTGAAGCCTATTTGAAGAAGATCGATTTCGGTTCCGGCCAAATGGTCAAGAAATTTGCGGATAAACTCGATGTTATGGACGGAGAAGAGTGCGAAGCAGATGATTCAGCCGATAGTGATCTTCACTCCATTGAATTAAACATGGAAAACAATGACATGTGCTACAAATGGAGTTATGCTCGAGGAAATATAGTCGGAGGCGGATCGAATAAGTTTCTGATCGAAAACGACTGTAAGGAGAGGAAATCGCTTTCCGAGACGAAGTATCTTGCTTCGCAAGTTGAGGCACGTGATTACGAAGATGAGATAAAGAGACATAGATCTGTAGAGAGTCTTAGAGATCACATATTATCAAGTAACAAAATAGCTCCTATCCAAAGCTTTCCGAGTCCGACTCGGCAATGGAGCCAGTCCATGCACCTCGAGGATGCCGGAGCCAGGACTGGCTCGCCAGTGTTGAAGGCGGATGGTTTGAACCCTAAGCTTGTTGGCTCATTAAGTGAAGGCCGAACTTCAGCAAGATAAGAGAGAAGAAACTTGCCTTTTTATTTGTTTTTCTTTTCTTTTTTGCTTTCTTAATGCTATGTTGCATTTTCTTGAATTCAAAAGCAGTTTTTTTTTTTAATGTTTGAATCAATCGGCAAACTCAGAATTGCTGAGAGGCTGAGACTGTAAAATAAAGTTATGAATTGCTATAATTTATGAATACAATTGGAGATATTTTCTTATAAATGCTTTATCACACGTGTACCTTAAAAAACAGTTGTTCAAATTAGAAATTTCTAAAAAGACTAATAATTATTTTATTACTGAATTTGAAAATTTTTAGAAAGAATAATATTTTTTTATCATCTGTTAATATTGTATCGGATTATCAATTTTCATATATTTGTGGTCAAATTATGACAACCAAATTCTAACAATGATGACCGACCACAACTCAATTATGCAGTATAATGGAGAGTTCAAAGGCAGAATAAGAGGGATGTTTGAGACAGGGATGTTTATATGAAATAAAAAATAATAAAATAATATTCTTTTTTTTTAATGAAAATATTCTATTTTTTATTTCTGAATTATTTCCAACATGTTACTTGGTATCTTATGTATGTGTTTTATTACAATATTATAAAGTCGCCATCCTCCGTGAGACATTATGTAGAATGGAAATTCTCTCTCAAAAAACAACATACATTTGACAAAACTCCAAACAACAGCTCTTATCTTCGGTTCTCTACTCCAGCTCCCTAAGGGTTTTCTTGTCTTCAGTCTCATCTTTAATTATTTCACCAATCAGGGAATTTGCTAAAATGTTATACATTTTTTCTCTTTTTGTCTAAAATGTTAATACAATTTTTTATTCTTGTAAATCTTACATAATTCAAAATTATGATGAGTTAATTGCATTGTAATAATTTAATTTAAATATGTAAAGTCTAAAATCTAATTTATATCTTTATTCTTTGTTTTTTTTATATTGAGGCTTTCTGCTATTTTTAATTTAAATTTTTTTATCTATCTCTTAACTTCTATTCAATTTTATCGTTGGAGCATGTGGTTGATCAACAGGATCCTGATCTCATCTTCCTCTGTGAAACTCAACTTCAACGGCCACGGGTCGTGTCTCTGAAACTACGACTTGGAATGGTGAGATGTCTATGTCCCTAGCAGTACTACCTGCACAGGTTTAATCCTCTTGTGGAAATCAACTATTTTGGTACAATTATTATCTTATTCTTCACTACACATTGATGTGATTATTGGGACCTATAATGTGGAGTCCAGATTCACTAGAATACATGGATGTAGTGATCGTCGTCGCCACTGTTGGGCTTCCAATACTGAGTGTATCCAATAGGTGCGTAAAGTTTGGAATAATCCTGCAGAGGACGTTATGTCCAAAATTAATGCAGTCTCTCTTCATGATTGGCAACAACAAAAATTTATCTTAAATAAAGGTCGGATTATCAATCTTCAAAACACAGTCAACAGTATGCTTCAACGCCAAATGTCTGTCTCTAAGTTAGGTACTTTTGCTGGTATGAAAGAGGAGTTACATTTGAGATTGTCCCGAGAATAAAACTATTGGCGCCAATGATCCCGAGTTCAGTGGTTGGCTAATGGGGATCAGAATACTGCCTATTTTCATTCTCGGTCCTTGGCTCAACGCAAGAAGAATATGGTGCGAGGGTTATACACTGATGACGATACTTGGTTGAATGAGGAAGATGTTATTCATCGAGAGGCTATTTCTTATGTCACCACACTTTCCCACTCATCTTCGTTACCTTTTGCCGACAAGATATTATGTGCTGTGGAACCCTGTGTTACCCGGCTATAAACTTCTGTTACAGCTGCCTACACTAGAGAGTATGCTGCCTTTTTGCAAATTCATCCCCATAAGGCATCGGGTATTGATGGTTTGTCGAGTAGCTTCTACCAGAAATTTTGGCCACTTGTAAGGGAGGATGTACTCACTTTATGCATCAATATTTTGTTCGGACCTACTCATATGTCACATGTAAACTCTGCAGTGCTTTTTTTTCTACCCAAGGTCTCTAAACCTACACTGATGAAGCAGTTTCAACCCATTGCTTTGTGTATGGTCATTTACAAAGTAGTGGCAAAGGTTTTGGTTAACCGGCTTCGGCCTATTTTGCCATATTGCATTGTGACACCCAAGAATCTTTTGTTCCTGGCCATCTTATTCCCGACAATGTTATCATAGCGTATGAATTGCTCCATTAATTGAAATCAGGTACATCTGGAAGAGGTGCGTTGAAACTTGATATGGAGAAGGCATACGATTTTGTAGAGTGGTCTTTCCTTCATGGAATGTTGCTTCGCCTTGGTTTCACCTCCTCTTGGGTTGAGCTTATCATGTTGAATGTCTCCACTGTTTCGTACCGTGTCAGGATCAATGGTTGTCTTATGGATGCTTTTGTTATCCAACGTGGCCTACGCTAAGGTGATCTTTTGTCCCCATTTTTGTTTGTTCTTTGTGCTCAGGGGTTGTCCTCCCTTCTTCATTTCGAACAACAGAGTGGTCATATATATGGTCTCCTGGTTTGTCGTGGTGGACCTCACATCACTCACTTGTTTTATGCCGATGATTGCATCTTTTTCCTTTATAGTTCAAATGCTGAGTTCCTTCGTGTTTGAGCAATATTGGATTCTTATGAATCTATGTCTGGGTAAACTATTTGAAATCAAGCCTTTATTGCAGCCCCTGTACTCCATCAGCTACTTGAACTCAGTTGAGTTCTCTGATGGGTGGTTGCTCTTGTGGATGATCCTAGGTTTTATTTTGGCATGCCACTGGTGATCGATCGCAACAAGAATGAATCCTTTGGTTTTTCCGTGATAAGGTGGCTTCTTGTGTCCGCGGGTGGACCAAACATACTCTTTCGAGTAGGGGTCGATCGGTCTATATCAAATCAGTGGGTCAAGCCCTACCTACATATGTGATGGGTTGTTATCTTCTACCGACTAGAGTTATTAATGATATGACGACGATTCTCCATTCTTATTGGTGGACTGGTGTTGCGTGTATGAGTGTATTATATATTGATGTGCAAATTGTGCAATTATCAACGTCGAACAAGTAATAAAGTGATAAGTGAGTATCGTCTCCGCAGAGATTGAAGGGAAATCAAGTAAAGTATGTGAACATAAATTATAAACAAATAAAGTGTAAAATGGTATGAACAAGTGAATGTGAATGTTATGGCAAAGTATTGAAGTGGGTGAAATGTTATGACAAAAAGTAAAGAACTGTTATGACAATATTGAGTTGAGAACTGGGGTATGAATCAAGAAGGATAAATGGATGGGTTTATTAATGAATCATATGTCTTATCTTCTAGAGTGGTTAACATCTTCCATGAGTATACTGCTCCACAGCGTTTGCTAAAGTGTTTTTAAGGCTATCTCTGATAGTGAAAATGCTACAATAATACCTCTCAATATAAACATCAACTTAATACTATCGAATGAAGTCCTACTCCTTTTATCATTGAAACCCTATTCTGATCTTAAAGGCGAGTTAAGGTTTTGCTTCCCAGCTCAACCTCATTGTTTACGTCGATCTAAGCCTAAATCTCTCGATATCAAGCATCAAATATAGATAATGACTATTTCTCGAAAGCTCTTACAAATCTAAGCATAAAAACAATGAACAAAGCAAGCATTTAACATGGAAAATATTAAATTTTTCATTCAACAAAAGCATAATCATCCATAATAAACCCGTGCCAACTAATTTTCAAGAGATGACAACTTTTATGTCTCATATGCCAACATGATTTTTCAAGAGATGACAACTTTTATGTCTCATATGCCAAACATGAATTTTCAAGAGATACAACTTTTATGTCTCGTATGCCAACTTACAATCATCCGAGATAACAGAGTGGTGTTGTTTTTTCACAACACTATTTCATGCCAACTTACAGTCACCCGAGAGAATAGAGTGGTGATTGTTTTTTTTACAATACCGGCTCCTATGCCAACTTATAGTTCCACGAGAGAAAATAGTGGTGACAGTTTTTTTACAACACCGGCTCCCATTCTTGTTGTGACTGATGAGGCGACCGACAATGAACAGGATCCCATCCAATTACAAATGCCACAACGAGATCGACATCCACCAATGCATTATTATTCTACGACACCCCAACATGGACATAAATTAAGAAAAAAAATGATTTCATGTACTTTTCGTTTTTTCAATGCATGAATAAATGACAATTATTTTAGTATTTTTAAGTAAGATGAATTTTATATTACTATGATAAATTATATAAAATATGAGATGAAATAAAATAAATATAAAAAAGAAATTTAATTTTATATTACTATGATAAATTATATAAAATATGAGATGAAATAAAATAAATACAAAAAATAAATTTAAACGTGATTTTTTATTTTAATATTTAAATTAAAACTTTAATTTTTTATTTTATTTTAATATGAAAACTCTCTACTAAATGCGCATATTTAAATTACGACCTTTCAAAAAATGAAAGTACATGAATTAAAAAAAAATCAGAAACCAACAACATGGTCAAAAGCTCATTGTCATCATTTTAGTTTCGAAAAATATTATTTTGATCTTTAATTACGAATTAATAATTCTTTTTTTAATAAGCCAACGCAATCAAAAATTAAATTATTAAATTTGAAATTTTTCTTACCGTCACATCATGCTGCAAATTGCAGCGTTTAATGGAACTTGGCAGGGTGCCAGGCCGGGGCCAGCTGCAGCACAGCAGGTAAATTTTAATTAACTCGTTTTTTATTTTTTAATTAAAAAAATATAAACAGTAAATTTTAAAAAAATTAACTTGGCGGGGGCCAAAGCAATCAAAATTTTAAAATATGTTGAATAGTGAAGACGTCGGGAAATTAAAAAATAGAATAGATGTCGACCAAAGCAATATTTTAAGAATTAAAAAATTAAACTACAATATTAAAACGTTTTAAGTATAAATATCTCAAACATGAAATCATTTAGTTATGTAAATTGGTCGATTAAGACAATTTTTTCTTTGAATGTCTCTTTGGTTGTCTTACCTCTCTATAATTAAGATCCATACTAGTTTGGATACAAGTTTATTGAGGTCTTCCCTTTAGTTGTCTACGAATTTCTTGATTCGGTAGCCATTCGTCATGCTCACTGGTGGCCAATATTGTGAATGCTCGATTGGTTGAAACTAACAT